GTCTACAGTCTACACGGAGCGGCAGGGTTACTTATAACCCGGCCGCTCTGCTCACTGCAGTCATAGACTCGGGACTCGGCGGCGGAGGACGGAACCAGAGGAGAGAGGTAAGTGCAGGGGGGAGGGGGAGAAGGCTGCACACTGTTTATATGTGAAATCGGCGACATCGTCGATTTCACATGTAAACGAAAAATCGTCTGCCTCACTCTACATTCAGTCCTGCTTGTACAAAGCAGGACTGAATGTAGAGAGGGCAACTTCCCCACAAGGACACCGCTGCCGCCCCTCTGCACCCTGCCGCCCCGAGGCCGGGCCTCGGTGGCCTTGTGGGGAATCCGGGCCTGCAGGTAGAGGTGACACATTCACAGTGTCCAGCTGTCATATCTTACATATCATTCTGTAGCGTCTCACCTGTGTAAGGGGCTCCGCTCACACCATGTGTATGGGGCTGCTGTGCTCGTCCCTGTTCACAGCAATTTCTGTTTTGGTTTCAAATGCAACCCGTCACAATGGGGGTTTAAAAATTGGGTCCTGCTGTGCCAAATAAGAATAGAAATCAATGTATCAAGTCGTCACACATCAAACCAAAAGGTAAATAGCTCTGTACAGAAGGATGAACAACCTCACATTGCTTTACAGGAAGCTTGTGCCTATAGAAAGATTGAGTCTGCCATGTCTGACCTCCTCCTGAAGACGCACATTGCCTGACAGTCATAACGGATCCTCTGACTGCTGGCGGCTGGTAAAGTCAGAACTCGGGTATTGCATACTTGTTTCGGGTCAGCTATGTAGGGTATATCTAGGCCGCTGGATCAGCATGACAGTCATATTCAGCTAACCATCTCAGAAGGGGGGACATTACCAGCCACCTAAATTACCATCCACCTAATCCTTTCAGAACAGGTTCTCTTTAAAGTCGAGCTCCAGGTAATCTGAAATTGAATCCTTGCAGTGGGCCTATCTCTGCACAAAAAGGGAAATTGTTTGTTTTGGTCTAGAGACTAGCAGATGATCCTTGGTGCTGCTTGACTGGTCCCCACATCCTCTGCTCCCCCCAGCAAAGGCACTCTAAGGACCCATGACATCACCATGTCTAATGGGGGGAGAGAGGTGAGTGCTAACTGCTGCAGGACTGAGGATCAGGTGAGTGTCATTTATTTTATGTTGCAACGTAGGCCAGGGGTGGGCAACTGCAACCCTCCAGCTGCCGTGAAAATACAAATCCCATGATGAAGCTGTCTCTGGGAGTCATACCTGTGGCTGTGAGTCTTGCAATGCCTCATGAGATCTGTAGTTCCACAACAGCTGGAGGGCCGGTGTTCTGGTAGAATCCTGGACCCGTGCACCACTCTTAAGGTGGCCATACACTGTACAACCATCGCAAGACCTTAGTCTTGCGATGGTTGTAAAGTGATTAAAAAAACGTACGATCTGCCCATCTTGGACAGGCAGATCGTACTCTCGATCATCGCAAACCCGCCCCCCTGAGGGGCGGGCTAACGATGACTGTAATGAGGGGCGGGCTTACAATGACTGCAAACGGGCATTGTGCGCGTGCGCACACCGGCCCGTTCGGCAGTTGTCGAACGAGCAGGCCACTAACTCACCGAGAATCGTACGATTCCCGGCGGGTTTTGTAGCCTGCTGGTTCGACGGAAGACGTGCGACCGTACAGTAGAAATGGTCGCACGCCTTCCATACACTGCACGATTCTCGTACGATCGCGGGATTTCCCGCGATTCTCGTACGCGAATCGCACAGTGTATGGGCACCTTTTTAGAAGCGTCGGGGAGGGAGGCGTTGGCTCAATGCATAAGCTCAGCGTCGCTGATCTCGGGGGGGCGTCGGCTGGACATGCATGCTCAGAGCTGCTGATCTTGGGGTGTGGAGGGGGCATCGGTTGAACATGCATGCTCAGAGCTGCTGATCTTGGGGTGTGGAGGGGGCATCGGTTGAACATGCATGCTCAGAGCTGCTGATCTTGGGGTGTGGAGGGGGCATCAGTTGAACATGCATGCTCAGAGCTGCTGATCTTGGGGTGTGGGGGGGGCGTCGGTTGAACATGCATGCTCAGAGCTGCTGATCTTGGGGTGTGGAGGGGGCATCGGTTGAACATGCATGCTCAGAGCTGCTGATCTTGGGGTGTGGAGGGGGCATCGGTTGAACATGCATGCTCAGAGCTGCTGATCTTGGGGTGTGGAGGGGGCATCAGTTGAACATGCATGCTCAGAGCTGCTGATCTTGGGGTGTGGAGGGGGCATCGGTTGAACATGCATGCTCAGAGCTGCTGATCTTGGGGTGTGGAGGGGGCATCGGTTGAACATGCATGCTCAGAGCTGCTGATCTTGGGGTGTGGAGGGGGCATCAGTTGAACATGCATGCTCAGAGCTGCTGATCTTGGGGTGTGGAGGGGGCATCAGTTGAACATGCATGCTCAGAGCTGCTGATCTTGGGGTGTGGAGGGGGCATCAGTTGAACATGCATGCTCAGAGCTGCTGATCTTGGGGTGTGGAGGGGGCATCAGTTGAACATGCATGCTCAGAGCTGCTGATCTTGGGGTGTGGAGGGGGCATCAGTTGAACATGCATGCTCAGAGCTGCTGATCTTGGGGTGTGGAGGGGGCATCGGTTGAACATGCATGCTCAGAGCTGCTGATCTTGGGGTGTGGAGGGGGCATCGGTTGAACATGCATGCTGAGAGCTGCTGATCTCAGTGGGCGTTGGCTTAACGCGCATGCTCAGAGCCGCTAATCTGTTGCAGAAATTTCACTGGCACTTGCGCATGTTGGGTGACGCCGGTCCATAACATTCACAGCTGAGTCAAAAATTCATTATCTGCACCCGCTGGCACATGCGTAATACAGGCAAACAGCCTGTGAAATTTCTGGACCCAATGACCTCTTCTGTGATTACACGGACGCGGTCCAGATTTCGAATGAAGTCCCGAATTCTGTTACAACATGGGATTGCCCACCCCTGCCCTGGACCAAGTCCAGCAGTTGACCCTTGCAGTGCGAGGGGAGCCCCACTGCAAGGGTTAATTTGTAGAGTTCTTGGAGAGTGTTCTTGGGAAATAGGGGATGTTGAACAGGGAAGGAATAAAGATGATCGGAATGTATGAACTTTCAATATAAATTTGGTTCTGATCCGAGAATTTTATTATTTGCTGCCCCCTCTTGGCTCTAGCAGCTGCTCCCTCCTCTGCCAGGAAGATTTGTCACCTAGGGGAAGTTTGGCCTTCATGTAATTATATTGTTTTATTTTCAGCCTCGAGGTAATCGTGAACATGGAGCGTCGTTTGTCCTCACAAAGGCCATTACAGGTACGCGGGGATCTTCCATTCTCCTGACCCGGGGCTGGACATGATCTGTACTGTAAATTTGTGCCCACGTACAGCCTCCGGGGCGGTATTGTGCGCCTCCTGTATATGCTGCAGTGCTGCGTCCTTTGTCCCAGCAGGTGGCTGAGGATTATGGGAGCTGCGGCCCAGCAAGCTGCAATAATAATGATGATGATGTATCGGAGTTCTGCTCTGTGTTATTGGGCTCCGGAGCTGCGGTCACACATTCCGCTCCTACTAACAGTCTGTTGTACACGGGCCGCGAAGAACGCCGCAAATTATTCATAGCTGAACTCCGGCCTTCCCATCAGTCCTGCAGAACTGTACCGGCCCCTCTCCTGGACTGGAACTGACTCTGATTTCATTGCACACTCAGAGCTTCTCACAATGTGCATTAGAATCTGCAGCAGGTCACAGAGCCCGCCTCATTTCCTGGCTGGAGGACGTCCAACACCATCCTAGGGGTAGGAGCTATCCAGCTGTGGTGCAACTACAAATCCCATTAGGCATTGCAAGATTCTGACAACCCAAGGCATGACTCCCAAAGGGCAGATGCATGATGGGATTGTAGTTTCAGTTCCAGCTGGAGGGCCAGGGTTTGCCTAACCTTGATCTAGCTCTTTCCTCCCCAGCCTGGTTGTAACTGGCCTGCTCCTTCCATTCATTGCATTTCAGCTTCACATGTGGGTGTTACCTAAGTTGGTCTGTATGCAAATTCATCCTGCCTAGGAACGCCCAGACTGACACCCGCCCATTTTTATATTTGCATAATTCCTCCCAAGAGCCAGCCACTGCTTTCATTAGGGCTGAGGGCTTTTGGGGGGGTGGACTGAGACGGGGTGCTGTGATGTTTCCAGGAAGCTATGTACAGCACCCTGTCAGCCATGCATAGAGAAGCACAGAGACCCAGGGATGACGTCAGTGGGTCTTAAATGTAATAGAAATGGATAATCAATGTCATTAGCATGTTGATGAGGGGGGAGGGAGGAACCATGGAGGGCAATGTGTAAGCAAATTAAACTTCAGCTTTAAATGGAATATCTCTACATCATTGTGTTTTTTTAATGTATTTAATTGACTGCCCAGAGTTCATTCTATTCTGGTTGTTACCTTTCTCAGCCAAGGGTAATGATCTGAGTTGGAGGCTTACAATGTCTTACTTCAGAGGCCAATGTACATTTCCAGCAGGCACATGGTTGTAAATGCACAATGGAGCACCTGGAGTAAGGCCCGGTTCACACCTCTGCGTTTTGTAGCGCGTCGAACGCTCTGCAAAACACTCAAACACCGAAATCCCATTATTTCCTATGGGTATGGTTCACACCTGGGCGTATTACAGGCTGTATGAACGCGCTACAAAACGTCCTACGCCCAAAGAAGTACAGGAGCTTCGTTGGGGCGTTTTTGTCGCGCGTTTCCATTGGGATACAGCCAAGTAGCCCTCGGAAACGTGCGTTTGGCGCGCGTTTTTGTTACTGCGAATCGCGGTAAAAACGCGCGCCACGAAACGTGCGCCTAGGTGTGAACCCAGCCTTAGTGCTGGCTTGGTCAGTCACATGGCCGTGGCAGTGACAGTTAGCAAGTGACAGTCTTCCTTTAACAAACTGAGTATTATCAGCCGTCTCTGTGGGCTGTAGGGCTGTGGCACGGACCTGTGAATATACTGCTTCTGTCAGATCCTGACCCACCTACCGTGCCACGTGCTGGTTGTCACTTGGACAGGAAGGCAAGGCACACTCTTGTTTTGTTCATTGTGATATACGGGCGTTAGGGAAAGTGTATAACCAAATCTCATTTTCTGTTTTAGGTCCAGCATTGTATATGCTACAGTACATCTGGTACAGGTAAGTACACATGTTTTTTATTGGGAATTGTTGCTTTTCTTAGGGGAAAGGAGGGATTCTGTAAGCCTGGCTGGTAATTGGGTATTTATGCTTTAGGCAGTTTAAATCTAACTACTGCGTTTTAAAAGTGGAAGCGCGTGGACTAGAGCGCGTGCTCCTTACTTTGGTGGTCAATAGGAAGAATGCCCTCCTTACAGATAGCTAAAAGGTGATTGGAGGTCTTTTTGAGAGGAAGACCCTGCTCATTGCTCAAACCAGGGTAACCTCTTTAGGAACCCTGGTTTAGAAAGGCTGCTTTAAACTGTATTACAATGGTCTCCCTGTAGGAGGAGGGAAGTTGACTGACTGACTGGCTGTATTCATGATACACATTATATGTTTACACTCTCTGTAACTGGATCACATTTTATCTGATTATAGCTGAATATTCCGTCTATACTATTAGCAAAACACGGTTCAGTAATAATTAATATGAAGTGTCTGCTTGCTCGTTGTTTTTATGGAATGAAGTGACAACGCCGAGTGTGATGACAAGGCAATAGGAAAACAGTTGCAGTACTGAAATATTGAAATCTCCATGCCATTAAACTTTTTACTGCCCCATTATCTGCTCGAACAAAACTCCTCTCAATTCACACATAAAGATGTCATCCGGATGAATCCCTGGTGTTATGGAGCTATCAGAGATCTGTTACAGGCAGCACAATGAAAGCTTTTAGCATCAGATGAGGAGGCACAGCTATTAAGGTTCATGGTCAGGAGCCTCTGCAAGCGGGAAATACTTTTTCTTATAAGTTGCTGAGGGAAAATCAAGACTTTCCTGCCACAGTCAGGTTAAAGGGAACCTGTCACTGAGTAATACCTAATCATTTACCTTAAAGTGACATTAAAGTCAAAGTCCCCCCCTTCCCAATCCTGCTGTAGGGACTTACCTTAAATGATGCCTCTTGATCCGATCATCTTCTTCTTTAATGTCCTTTTCAGCTGTCCCTCCAGTGCTGGTGCGGGTCTCCGATCCAGCGCTGACTCCTCTGTCCTCCTCTTCTCTCATGTCCCACGGAGTCTGTGCGGGTGCACGCTGCTCCATAGACTTACCTTGTGTCCCTCCTTGTCTCACGGCCGAACATCTGAACTGCGCATACGCCCCCCTAGCTGAAATAGTCCAAATGTACATGCTTGTACAAATGCTGAACTGCTAGTAATGATCTTTGCACACCAAGGATTTCCACTCCTGCCTAAGAAATAGCATTGTCTGCAGGGGCTGTGTTTATCTTCTATGACCTGTCGCCCTTCTTCCTGATTGCCTGGGAAGCCGGTGTTCTATCAAAAGAACACTGGCTTTACTTGCCAAGGCTGCCTGGCTTTCTGACCAATCAGGAAGCCAGGAGGTGGGTCATTACGTGCCACCCAGTTTCTGATTGGAAAGGAAGCCAGCTCCATGTTCCCTCGTCATTGCTGGTCAGAGGGAGATCTCCCTTTGACTGGAAGTTCCGGTGTTGGAGATAAGCATCAGAACATTTAGCCAAGTAAGAGTATGCACCCAAATATATAGTATCAGTATCCCTGCATCCTTTACTAATTTGTATTGAGATTGTAGTCCATCCCGGGAGTGAGCTTGGAGCGGTGACTACTTTACAAGACACACAGGGACCATGAGGAACAAAAGTAGCCCCCCTCCAGAAGGAAGGACAGTGTCGGCACCAATTCAGAGATGATTTCAGGATCTACAGCCGAGTCATACATTAAAAAGATACATTTTACAACTCAACTCAAAAACCAGCCAGTTATGTCTGTGGAGGTGCAAACCTTCAAGTGTACCCTAACTTAAATGAGCAGATTGTTTTGTAATAATATTGTAATTCAAGTAATCTTCCGCCATATGCAATGGGGTTGCCCAATATACAGCCAGGATCCAGGGAAGTCCTTGTTTTTAGAGTGTTGATTGGCTTCATTTTATACTGGGTTTTAACTAACTGTATTTTTTTATTTCTGCAAATGTAGCCCAGCAAAATTCTCTCTCCCTTTGGGGCTTGTGCGCTTAATCCATAAGCAGATCAGCTGGCAGCTTGTTCTGACAAGGTAAGACACTAAATGTTCTATTATATTTTGAAGATTGTTATTTCTTAAAGTGGACCCTTACCCCATTTCACTAAAAATCACATCAGTATGCAGCTCTGCATGCTGATAGGAAATCATCTTACATTTATTAGCTAAACAAACTAGTTTTTCATTTACTTACAGAGTTCATCTACTTCCTGGTCCACTTTGGCACAAACTATGTAATCTGTGCCCAAGTGTTGCATCCTTGGAAGGTTACATCAGCAGAGCATTGCGGGGAAATCTAATCTGTAGTCTCATGAGATCTCAGGGAAAGGCATTTTCCTCCCTGATGCATCCCTGGTTTCTCTCCTCCCCTCTGGGCGCTGCTCTGTGTCCCCTCTGACACAGCGCAGAGGAGAGAAACTGTCAGAGGAGGCCGAGCAATGTGGAGGAGGAGAATGCTGTGAACCGCGCTGTGACAGATCAGGAGGGAGAGCGGTGACTGCTTGTAATTAATTGAGGACAGAGTATGTTTACTGTGTCCCCAATTATGAATGAACAGGAAGTTCTCTACATCACTTCCTGTTCATTCATAATTGTGGACATACCATATCCACAAGTTATGAATCAACGGGATTCCTGTTCATAACGGGCTGCTGAAAAAAGTTTGAGTACACTGTGTCCTCAATTTCTTATTCTATTTTAAAAGGGAAATATCAGGAGTCTGTTTAGACCCCTAATATTTCCCCAGAGCACCCAACAGTAAAGTTAAAAAATAAAAATATTTATTAAAACAAAAATAAAATATAAAAAAATAAAATAAATTAAAAAAAAAAAAGATTAGAAAAAAATAATTTTCTGTTTCGGCCTGACAATTTTTTTAATTTTAGGTTTCGGTTTCAAAATGTCATTTCTGTGCACCTCTAGTTATAACCCCTGTCAGCTTTTTTGTTACCATCTGTGTCCCAATGATTTCTCTTGACTTCCTGTCTGATAGTACAACATAAAATTAAAGGAATGGTCACTAGGACAAATAGAGAAGGTGACTCTCCCTAATGGGGACATGGACAGCAATAAGAACCTTTTCGGAGAACAGTAGGTCCCCCTGCACTCCTGACAGCGTTTCCGGTCCAAGTAACAATGGTGGTGCTCGCAGTGACAATCACGGATGGCGCCATGCACAACAGTCATAGAAGGATAGAAATCACCAGCACTCAGTTGATGAAGTTCAAAAAATAATAACGTCCATTTATTTGGACCAAACGTCATACATATCGCAGTATCCAACGTTTCGGGACCACGCAGGGTCCCTTCATCAGGGCAGAGATGTGACAGAGATGTGATTTGCCACATCTCTGCCCTGATGAAGGGACCCTGCGTGGTCCCGAAACGTTGGATACTGCCATATGTGTGACGTTTGGTCCAAATAAATGGACGTTATTGTTTTTTTGAACTTCATCTACTGAGTGCTGGTGATTGCTATCCTTATATAGCAATAAGAACCTGACAAGAGTTCTAATCCCTCTCCACTCCATCCAATACTCAAAAAACTTCAGTTGCAGTTTAACAGTTATGAGGCAGAAATTGACACTTGTTTGTCTGTATAGATCTTTTTTTTTTTTTTTTTTTTTTTTTTTTTTTTCCAAAAAATTACACTTTTTTTACTTCCATAAATTGACTAAATGTTCTTTATAAGGCAAGTGGCCTCTATTCTGTTGTTGTTCTGAAATTCTGGCAGGATCAACAGGTTTTTCATTTATGATGATGATTTAATAAACCGCTTTCATTGGTATATTTAACACACCAAAAGGGAGCAAATACGAGAAGCTGATTGTTGGGGTTTTGGTACACTTTAAGAGACACCATAACATAACGCTCACCATGGAGCAGGAAGGGTTGTGTGCAATGTGTGAGAGAGCGATTATCAGCAGGCAGACGACATTTTCATAATTGCTGCATTTTATAACTGTTAATAGCACAGTAATGATTCCAATGTATTTGATGTCATTTTTCTTTTAGTAATGGAAAGCTTTTGGCAGCAGTTCAGGACCAGTGTGTGGAAATTAGGTGAGTGATTCATTATTAAGTACCAAAAAAATTGATGAACGGTATTTTGTAAAGCTATCCGCTAATAAAGCGGTATTGCACTTCATGAATGTATTGTTACATGGGAGCTATAGGGCTTGTGGTCACTCCTGCGCATTGAAGCTCAGGCATCCAAGGAAAACACCCAAGTAAATATTTCCTGGTACAAGCTCGGGCGTGTGCTGGAGGACTGAGCTGCATCTGGGGTTTGATCTTTGGAACAGTAGCTAAGCGGGTGGGGGGAACTATATAGACCATGAATATATCAATGTACATACACTTGGTAGGAAAAAAAGATGTGTAGATAGATATAAATATCTATATATTTATGATCACTGACATCTGAAGTGAATAACATTGATTACAATGGCACATGGAAGTGGGGGGGATATATTAGGCAGCAAGTGAACATTTTGTCCCTGAAGTTGATGTGTTGGAAGTAGAAAAAATGGGCACGTGTAAGGATTTGAGTGACTTTGACAAGGACCAAATTGTTGTAGGTAGATGACTGGGTCAGAGCAACTCTTTAAGTGCAGCTGTCGAGGGATGTTCCCGGTCTGCAGTGGTCAGGACCTACCAAAAGTGGTTCAGCCAAGAAAAAAACGGTGAACTGATGCACATGGTGGGTGAAGGCCGGCCCATGTAGTCCGATCCAATAGAAGAGCTACTATAGCTCAAATTGCTGAAAATGTTAATGCTGGTTCTGATAGAAAGGTGTCTGAACTCTGAACACACAGTGCTTTGCAGTTTGTTGCGAATGGGGCTGCTTAGCTAAAGACCAACCAGGATGTCTATGCTGACTCGTGTACACTGCCCAAAGCTCCTATAATAGGCTTGTAAGCATCAGAACTGGACCACAGAGCAATGGAAGAAGGTGGCCTGGTCTGATGACTGACATTTTATTTTACAATATGTAGCTAGCCAGGTGTGTGTGTCACTTACCTGGGGAAGTGATGGTACCAGGATGTACTATGGGAAGAAGGCAAGCTGGCGAAGGCAGTGCGATTCTTTGGGCAATGCTCTGCTGGGAATCCTTAGGTCCTGCCATTCATGTGAATGTTACTTCGACACGTACAACCGACCTAAACATTGTTACTGACCAGGTCCACCCCTTCATGGAAGCGATATTCCCTTTCAGCAGGACAATGCACCCATTCACACTGCAGAAATGGTTCAAGCATGGTTTGAGGGACACAAATACAAATTTGAGGTGTTGACTCCAAATTCTCCAGATCTCAATCCAATCGATCATCTGGGATGTGCTGGAAAAACTAGTCCTATTCATGGAGGTCTTACCTCACAACTTACAGGACTTAAAGCATCTGCTACTGACGGCTTGGTGACAGATATCACCGGATACCTTCAAAGTTCTAGTGGAATCCATGCCTCAATGTTTTTATTGGCAGTAGTAGAAAAAAAAAAATGGTCCATTCATAGGGTGAATCGGGAAAACACTGCATTATGGCCAGTAGATGGAGCTGAGGATCGTAAGGAAATAAATACTGTACAGCTCAATAGCAAGAGATACAATGTAACAATTTTAGAGAACACGAGGGAATTAGCAGTTCAATGTAAATGTAACCATTGCTATTATGTGGAGTAGCTGTAGTAGCAATGGTTACATTTATTTTTACGATTTTACATAAATGTATTACTTAGTATGCATACTCATAAGTAAAAAATATATCAGGTGCCCGGTCAGCTTTAACCTGTAAAAGTTTTGATTGCTGCATTATGTGCTCAAGTGATGTTCGGATTGGATGTATTGCTCACTATTACCTGGCTGCCTAAAATCCCTTGTCCTATGAAACCTCTCTTTTGAGAATCATAAAAAAAAAGGCCTTTAAATTTAGAAGGGAAGAAAGTTTGACATCTTATCTCTTATTAAACTTCAGCTTGGGTATTCTAAACACAAAGCGCGACGTGGTGTTTTGTTTTTAAAGCGATGCATTTTTTTTACTAGAGGCAGCAGAAGAAATTCATTTGCATTAGGACCATCCACATGTAGAAAATAAGGGAATTTTACATTTTCAGAGCAAGCCCCGCTTAGGATAAGAATGCCCTTTTCTAGCAAAGGCATAGCTCCTGAATTCATCTATTCATAACACCGATGGGTACATATCTCCGCTGTATGTTTGCAAGAATCCATCACTCTCTCATAGTTATCAAGATTTAATTTCCCCTTTGTATTCTGTTTCCTGCGCACATCCAGGTCTGCAAAAGATGACTTTGGCTCAGTTATAGGAAAATGTCAAGGTGAGTAATTATACGAACGTGCATTCCTCCGTCCTTTTTTTAGCATGCAACTAAAATCAGCCAGTTTAATACAATTCAGCTAGGTCAACAAGAGCAGGGTCTGCATGCTGGGCTAATTGAAATGTAAAAATATGTTGCAGACATACTAAGTAGCTTAAATATTCCCGAGGGAAAAACCAGATTTAGTTATGTATGCTTAACCGAAGGCATAAGATTGGTCATTTTATTTTTCACTCTATGTTTTATATTGGTGGGTTATTAATAGAAAAAACATTATTTTATTGGGTTTTTTCCCATCTAAAAAAAATGTATCATCTGATTTGCATTGCTCTTGAGATAATGTGTTGTAACATGTTAATCATTTACAGAAGGAGCAGTGGCTTAACAATCGCCATAGCGACCCAGGCGGCCAATATGGGGCCCGGGCACAGGGGGTCCCGGCCAGGGCCGCCTGTGTCGCTATGGCATGTGGGGGTGCTGGCTGTCACAGACACAGCTCAGCAGCGGGCCGCGGCACATTTCCCCTCATAGCCGCTGCTTTGTCAGTGATAGCCAGCCGCTGTGGCAGATGAGGGCGCTGTTCAGAATGGAGGAGGCGGGGCCCGCCTCCTCTTACATCACTGGCCAGTGACCTAAGAGCAGGTGGGGCCAGTGATGTAAGAGGAGGCGGGGCCCAGGGACAGAACAGGAGTCGGGGCCCGGCGACCACAGAGGGGCTGACAGGTAAGAGATCTCAGACCCTGAGATAGAGAGTCTATGTTGGGCTCTGCAGGGTCACTCTCCGCTGGGGCTCTGCAAGTGGCATGACTAGCAATCACGGGGCCCCATACAAAATTTTGCTATGGGGCCCTGTGATTTCTAGTTACGCCCCTGAGAAGGAGGGCAGTAAAATGGTGACCTGTTTTGTTGGTTAATTTAAGATATTTTTGTGCTGAGAAAACCTGGTTCTCTGTAGATAGCAGTAGACACAAGACAAGTGTCGTAGGGCTTGGGGAGATGGTGATGTGAGATGAACATCACACTATACAGAGCTTGGGACTAACTATAGACATGAGATGAACTTCACAATATCAGGTGTTTAGGTAGATTAAGATGTGATATGAATAACATTGTGTACAATGCTTGGGTAGCTATAGGCATGAGATGAACTATCCAGCGCTTGGGTAGCTATAGACATGAGATGAACATCACATTATCCAGTGCTTAGGTAGATTAAGACATGATATAAATAACATACTATACAGTGCTTGGGTAGCTATAGCCATGAGATGAACGTCACATTATCCAACATTTAGGTAACTATAGACATGAGATGAATGTCACACTATCCAGTGCTTGGGTAGCTATAGCCATGAGATGAACTGCAAACTATCCAGTGCTTAGGTAGACTAAGACATAATATGAATAACATTCTATACAATACTTGGTAAGCTATAGACATGAGATGAACATCAAACTATTCTGTGATTGGGTAGCTATAGACATGGGATGAACTTCACACTCTTCTGTGATTGGGTAGCTATAGACATGACATGAATGTCACAATATTCTGTGATTGGGTAGCTATAGACATGAGATGAATGTCACAATATTCTGTGATTGGGTAGCTATAGACATGAGATGAATGTCACAATATTCTGTGATTGGGTAGCTATAGACATGAGATGAATGTCACAATATTCTGTGATTGGGTAGCTATAGACATGGGTTAATCGTCACACTACTCAACTAGTTTTGGTGGCACTCTGACCAGGAAATCTCATATTTCATCTAGTTTTATGCACATTTGATGCAAGAATGGCAGGGAGTCACAATCAGAGGCCCTTTAAATCCACTGAGTGTGGATGGATTGAGGAAAATGTATATAAAACTTGCTCTAAGGTAAAAGGAGTTGAATGTTTTAATTCCGTACAACCTCATGGTCTACTGGTAGCAATAGGACTTAACTAGAACAATGTTCTTGTTGCCCTGCATTCAATGAGCATGAGGGTTGGGTTTGACCGGATTTTTTAGGAGAACTTGATATATACTGTATGTTGCCAGTTATAGACCTAGGTGTTGGAAATGTAATCTGGTCATTATTTTCCTGTTTAGTTCCCAAAGACCCAAATCCTCAGTGGCGATGTGTGGCATGGAGCCATGACTGCACGTTAGTGGCTTACGGTGAGAGCACAGGGACCGTCAGACTGTTTGATCTCACGGGAAGTGAGCTCTTTGTCATTCCACCGGTATGTATGATTTTACTTGCCTAATGTATGTACTTACGTATGCAAGAGGGCAGTGATGGTCAGAATACCTGTAAAATGGTTATGGCCGTTAAAGTATTTACATATTCTTAATAAGCAGTAAATGAGCTAAAAAAAAACAAAACAAAACCCTAAATATTCTCTGTAGCTGCTTGTACTGTGGAGCATTTCATTCTCAGTAATCACAGCAGAGACTCTGAAGTCAGGTTGGAGTCCATTTTTTTAACAGCTTATGTTACCTGCTGTTCACATTAGAAGGCTGGCAGTCTGCCAAGTCCCTGCTGCCAAAGAAGGCAAGGAGAGATGAGCTGCGATTTCAGTGCCTTTGTTATAAATAATTGAGGATACATTTCACCACAGTACCTGCAGCTACAGAGGTCAGTGAAGGCTTGCTTTAAAGCTAATTTACTGCATCTTAAGAATATGTAAATACTATCCATAGCCTGTTCACAGGTTCTCTTTAGTGCTGAAATTTGGCTTAAGAGCCTGTAGATAGTACAATGATCTTGCTGTGTTGGGATTTGAGGACCGGTGCCCACTAGAAGCATGTTCTTGATGGTGGTAGTGTGTTGCTCTTGTGTGGATTTACTCTAGGTGCTCCAGTTTCCTCTAATAAAATGCACTGGCTGATTCATTGGTTTCTGTCCAGGTTTGCTGAAGGGTCTTACATGTATGTGTGCTTTTGTGATATTGGTAGGACAATTGGGTAGCTTCTTGGGGGCATAGAATTCTCCTGATCTCAATTGCCATAGCCAGCAAAGTGAACCTTTTTACAGGAGGGGGAGAACATGGAAATTACCTCAGGAAAGGAGAACCTTCCAAGTCTACGTATTGGTCATTTACTTTGGCAAGTGTGCTTACTGACCGATGGAGAGCCTCAGGAGCTTAGATTTTATATGAAAATTGAAGGTTGGGTCTGTTTCTCCCACCTTCTGAGCTTTCCTTTTGGTCATTGTGATGAGCACCATCGCTGAGCTCTAGTAAGGCTCAGAAGCTTAGCTTTTACAAGAAAATTCAAGCTTGGCACCCCCTGCCTCTCCAATCTTTACGGTCTACCTATTGGTCCATTATTGTGACGAGCATCTTCACTGAGCAGTAGAGAGGCTCAGGAACTTAGCTTCTACAAGAAATTTCAAGCTTGGCACCCCCTGCCTCTCCAATCTTCAGGGTCTACCTATTGGTCCATTATTGTGACAAGCATCTTCACTGAGCAGTAGAGAGGCTCAACAGCTTTGCTTTTGTGGTAAAAAGTGTGATTTCCATAAGCTGCCTGTATCTGTGGAACTACTGCTTATAGGATTCTGCATGAAGGATATTTCTGCTTATGCATCATATGCTCAGTTTGAATTGCTCAGCTTTACTTTAAAGAGACTCTTTCTCTAAACAAAAATTGCTCATAAAAGCTGTACTTGTAAAGAAGCAAGTGAATACTTACCTCTACTGCTGCTGCATCGCCAAATGATAACCCAGTCCAGAAAAGTCCCCAGCTGAAGTCTGGTTCCTTCTACTCGCCTTCATTTCATTACTGTGTCCTTAGATATGTGTCAACATAGAATAAACAAAACGAGGGTTAGGAGGGCCCTGCTTAGGGAAGGGCTAGTGATACAAAAGAGAACTGTTTGGGGCTGAGTTGATGCAGAAAGTATAATTAAATTTTTTAAGGTAGAAGTTGGATAGACTTCTCTGATGAGATGAGTTTTCAAGGATCATCTACAGGTAGACAGAGTAAGAGATAGTCAGACAGATTGGGGTATGGAGTTCCAGGGTTTGGGAAGAGTGAAGAAGACAGTTTGGGTGATATTTTCAGATGCGGTTGGTGATGTATCTTGAGACAGTAGGGATATACCAATACCAAGTATTTGGGCGAGTACTTGTACTTACCCAAATGCTCCCAATGCCTATCCGATACTGGAACGTCGAGTCATTACACGCTGCCCAGCTTCCTGATTGGTCGGGAAACTGGCAATCAGGAAGCTGGGTGGTGAGTCATTACCCGGCCCCCGGCTTCCTGATTGGCTAGAAAGCCGCTTCCATGCTTTTTCATCACCTGGAGACAAGGAAGCATGAAGCCGGCTTCCCGGCTAATCGGGAAGCCGGGCAGTGAGACATTACATGCCCGCCCGGCTTTCCAGCTAATCAGGAAACCAGGTGGCGAGTCATTACGCACCGCCCAGCTTCCTTAAGGGGACTTCCTGTATTAGTATTCTGTATTGGAGAGTACCGAAAAACCGGTATTGGCGCATCTCTATTAGACAGAGTTGTGGATAGCTTTGTATGTTGTTAGTAATTTTATTCATTATGAAAAAGTTAATAGTAGTGAGCACCTACTGAGTGGTTAGGTGCCAACCCCTGGTTATATACTAGCCAGGGGTTGGCTAGTAGGGGAGCCAAACCCTGGACATTACAATCACAAGAGACATTACAGTTAGTGATTGTTAGGAGGCTATCTCCTTGTTTTGTACGCTTCCTTTATTACCTCTTTTCTAAGTGACATTTTTAACTTTTTGTATGAAATAAATAATATATTTTTATATCAATTATTGTATTTAGTAGTTTATTGGATTTGTCATATGGTGCCCCCAAAACCCCAACTTTTTTCTGTCCTTTTTTGCTAATTTTATTCATTAGCTGATTGTAATCCATTGGAGGGGATAGCAGAGAGGGGCTTCTGATATCTCTGATTTAGTTCTGTGGTGCAAGCAGCAGGGACATAAGCATTCACTTCTTTACACGTACAGCTGTTTTTGGCAAATGCTGTTTTGAGATTGGGTCCCTTTTAAGAGCCGTCTCCTATTGGGGTCTCAGCAAGGATAACTATCTAGCAGAGGTATAAGCAACCTGCTGGTTTCCTGCCTCATGCAGAATTAATTTCTTGCTGTGGCCATACCCAGAATAAGGCTATATTGCAGATTCCTGCAGCCAGAATGACAGGTGTATGAGAATAGCCGCCGCCGCTTTGCCTGTACAAAGCAAAGACATAACCGCAGGTAATTGATGGATGTCTGAACAGCTGAGGCCACCATCAGCCTATTGTTGCTTTGTGTAGTCTGAGCGGCAGCAGCTATGTGCACACACTAGTTATTCTTGCCACAGGAATTTGCAATATAGCCCTAATCACTGGTGTGAATGAGGCCTTACTGGGGAATCAGCAGGCCAACTGGACTTGCAGGGAGATTCTTCAGCTGGCTAGTATATGGGAGTTAATTTTATCAGCTTTCACGGCAGCCTAGGGAAGTGGTGCACCTGAAGCCAATGTTATACTCGCTGTATGCCTTAAGAATATTTGCAGGCCCCAAGTGGGTTTGATTTCACCTGCTCAATTGGTCGCAGCAAAGTTGAAACAGTTCACTAGTTTCTAAAAGGAAATGTGTTTTAGATGTTGCTTTGCTTTAAATATACTGCTGATGAGAATTGATCATGAAATGAAGTATTAGCCCTGACTCAGTACTTTTTTTTTTATTTTCCACACTCTCACAGCAAACCAGCTTCCCTGGGGACCTGAGTTATGCGATTGCTGGTCTGGTCTTTCTAGAGTACAAAGCAAGCGCACAGTGGTCAGCCGAACTCCTGGTGATCAATTACCGCGGACAGCTGAAGAGTTACCTAGTCAGGTAAATCTCTAATATTTATGACCTATTGGAAGGTCAACGCCAAGGCTGGATAAGTCCGGGGAGCCACGGTGACTAATACACCCAGATTTGTGCTTTATCTCGCATATTCTTATTTTATACAAAGGACAGCAAGCAATGTTACATCTCCAAGATCTTTAACGGAGGCCCCTAGCAGGGAAGTTAAAGGGACGCTGCTGTTGCAGAAGAGTTATTATTAGAGGTGCATCGAAATGAAAATGTAAAAACCGAAACGAAGTCGAAATAAAAAAAAGATTTCGGGCAAGACCCTTGATATTTCCCTTTTAAAAAAGTAAAAGAGGTTGACAACACAGAGTTCTCAATCACTTTTTCTGCAGCCCCTGTTATAAATGTACAGGAATCCTCTATACTGAGTGTTCCTGTTGATTCATAACATGAGGACAGAGTGTGTTTACTATATCCACGATCATGAATGAACAGGAGGTGATGGAGATCACTTCACATTCATTCATAATTGGCGATATAGTAACCATACTCTGTCCTCAATTGTGTACAAACACTCAGCGATCACTGATCGCTGAGTGTTTGTACCCGCTCTCCTTCCTGATTCGCTGTCACAGGAGGCTGAGCGAGCGGAGCTCAGCCTCCTGTGACGGCACTGGCTGTCTCCCCCCACACCGCTCTCCTCTGATCTGTGACAGGAGACTGAGTGGTGTGGGAGGAGAGATGCCAGCCGCTCACAGCGCTCTCCTCCCTCAGCGCTCGACTGCCTGTGACACTTTTTCTCCTCCACGCTGGGACACAGGGCAGCACTCCAGCGGGGAGGAGAGAAAGCAGGGATGTGCTGCTGTATCGGCCAGAAAATTGCACTTTCGGCATTATGCCAAAAGTGCCATTTTTGGCCGATATATCGGTGCATCCCTAGGTATTGTAGTATACCTACCTGGTGGTTTGTGTATTCTATCTTTTCTCCATTCTTGGGAGCTAGGTTTGTGCAGTTGTTCACATAGGAAGAAGGTTCCATCATATGTCCCTGCCCATCCCAGCATGTATGCTGCATTGCTGACACAGGTGTGGGCAGGAAATACCAGCAAGGGGTCTGTCTCATCCCAGGAGATAACGACCCGCAGACAGATCTTCATTCATCAGTGTCTTGCCCCAAGAACCCTTTGATGGTCCTCATTTGTGTATCGCACAACCCCATGCTGATTCAGTTCAGGATATCAAGGAACACTTTTATATCAAAGTTGTATCATAGATGTCAATTTTATCGGTTCCAACAGCCCTCCTCCAGTAATGTAACTTTGCCGCCCCGCTCCCCGCTCTGACACTGCCTCTGACAGCTTTTGCTGGTCTTCTTTTGCTTCCGGCATCTTCCTTTCATTGGGTAGCCACTGATGATGTAATGTGCACAAGACTTGCATTGCCCTGGTCACCTGGTGGCATTGCCAGCATCTTACAGATGGGTAAAGCACATGTCCTCTTTAAAGTTTGATTTACTCATAATTCTCCTTGAATGTATTCCCCTTGGGGTCATTCTATGTTCCTGAAGACTGTAGGATCATTTCTTTGTTTTCTATCAACAGTGTTGGTGCCAACCAAAATTTTCAAGAAAGCCACAGCTTCAACTTTGGATGTCATTATTTCCAGGGAATCTCCTCTGTGGTTTACCACACCGGGCACAGGTAAGTTGTGACAACTGCTTTCTATGTTATTAGAGGAAGACCATCAGAGTTATGTGCCTTTGTCTTATATGCAGCAGGTGCTCAAGTGTATAAAGAATAGATTTGGGAAATAAAAACCGCCTTCTGAAAATATTTAGCCGGTTATCATGCTGATCCTCTGGCTTCTGTACATCCGGAGTCACTAAGCTGGAAAAGATGTGAAGACCAGTAGCTTCCATTTCACTTGTGCACATGTTTTAGGTCTGCGCTCCAAAAGTCAATATGGAAGCCAGGTAACCTGTGTTTTAGGAGGTGGTTAGCAGTGGCGTCCTTTCTATTTGTCTTATGACCATTTGTTTGTTGTTGAAAGTGGGGAAGAGTAAGATCCTGGTCAAGTTTTTTGATTACCCTCTAGGTCAGTGGTGGTCAGTTTACAGAGTAAAGGCGGAGGCTCAAGTGAATCACTGAATGTGATGCTACAGAAAGCTGTACATGCAGTTGGTGATGGTCAAGCCTGCAGACATGCTGTAGGAGTTGCAGTGGAGTGCAGGCATGCTGTAGGAGCTGCGGTAGAGTGCAGGCATGCTGTAGGAGCTGCGGTAGAGTGCAGGCATGCTGTAGTAGCTGCGGTAGAGTGCAGGCATGCTGTAGTAGCTGCGGTAGAGTGCAGGCATGCTGTAGTAGCTGTGGTAGAGTGCAGGCATGCTGTAGTAGCTGTGGTAGAGTGCAGGCATGCTGTAGTAGCTGCGGTAGAGTGCAGGCATGCTGCAGGAGCTGCGGTGGAGTGCAGACATGCTGTAGGAGTTGCGGTGGAGTGCAGGCATGCTGTAGGAGTTGCGGTGGAGTGCAGGCATGCTGTAGGAGTTGCGGTGGAGTGCAGGCATGCTGTAGGAGCTGTGGTAGAGTGCAGGCATGCTGTAGTAGCTGTGGTAGAGTGCAGGCATGCTGTAGTAGCTGTGGTAGAGTGCAGGCATGCTGTAGTAGCTGCGGTAGAGTGCAGGCATGCTGCAGGAGCTGCGGTGGAGTGCAGACATGCTGTAGGAGTTGCGGTGGAGTGCAGGCATGCTGTAGGAGCTGCGGTAGACTGCAGGCATGCTGTAGCAGCTGTTGTAGAGTGCAGGCATGCTGTAGGAGCTGCGGTAGACTGCAGGCATGCTGTAGCAGCTGTTGTAGAGTGCAGGCATGCTGTAGGAGCTGCGGTAGACTGCAGGCATGCTGTAGCAGCTGTTGTAGAGTGCAGGCATGCTGTAGGAGCTGCGGTAGACTGCAGGCATGCTGTAGCAGCTGTTGTAGAGTGCAGGCATGCTGTAGGAGCTGCGGTAGACTGCAGGCATGCTGTAGCAGCTGTTGTAGAGTGCAGGCATGCTGTAGGAGCTGCGGTAGACTGCAGGCATGCTGTAGCAGCTGTTGTAGAGTGCAGGCATGCTGTAGGAGCTGCGGTAGACTGCAGGCATGCTGTAGCAGCTGTTGTAGAGTGCAGGCATGCTGTAGGAGCTGCGGTAGACTGCAGGCATGCTGTAGCAGCTGTTGTAGAGTGCAGGCATGCTGTAGGAGCTGCGGTAGACTGCAGGCATGCTGTAGCAGCTGTTGTAGAGTGCAGGCATGCTGTAGGAGCTGCGGTAGACTGCAGGCATGCTGTAGCAGCTGTTGTAGAGTGCAGGCATGCTGTAGGAGCTGCGGTAGACTGCAGGCATGCTGTAGCAGCTGTTGTAGAGTGCAGGCATGCTGTAGGAGCTGCGGTAGACTGCAGGCATGCTGTAGCAGCTGTTGTAGAGTGCAGGCATGCTGTAGGAGCTGCGGTAGACTGCAGGCATGCTGTAGCAGCTGTTGTAGAGTGCAGGCATGCTGTAGGAGCTGCGGTAGACTGCAGGCATGCTGTAGCAGCTGTTGTAGAGTGCAGGCATGCTGTAGGAGCTGCGGTAGACTGCAGGCATGCTGTAGCAGCTGTTGTAGAGTGCAGGCATGCTGTAGGAGCTGCGGTAGACTGCAGGCATGCTGTAGCAGCTGTTGTAGAGTGCAGGCATGCTGTAGGAGCTGCGGTAGACTGCAGGCATGCTGTAGCAGCTGTTGTAGAGTGCAGGCATGCTGTAGGAGCTGCGGTAGACTGCAGGCATGCTGTAGCAGCTGTTGTAGAGTGCAGGCATGCTGTAGGAGCTGCGGTAGACTGCAGGCATGCTGTAGCAGCTGTTGTAGAGTGCAGGCATGCTGTAGGAGCTGCGGTAGACTGCAGGCATGCTGTAGCAGCTGTTGTAGAGTGCAGGCATGCTGTAGGAGCTGCGGTAGACTGCAGGCATGCTGTAGCAGCTGTTGTAGAGTGCAGGCATGCTGTAGGAGCTGCGGTAGACTGCAGGCATGCTGTAGCAGCTGTTGTAGAGTGCAGGCATGCTGTAGGAGCTGCGGTAGACTGCAGGCATGCTGTAGCAGCTGTTGTAGAGTGCAGGCATGCTGTAGGAGCTGCGGTAGACTGCAGGCATGCTGTAGCAGCTGTTGTAGAGTGCAGGCATGCTGTAGGAGCTGCGGTAGACTGCAGGCATGCTGTAGCAGCTGTTGTAGAGTGCAGGCATGCTGTAGGAGCTGCGGTGGAGTGCAGGCATGCTGTAGGAGCTGCGGTGGAGTGCAGGCATGCTGTAGGAGTTGCGGTGGAGTGCAGGCATGCTGTAGGAGCTGCGTTAGAGTGCAGGCATGCTGTAGGAGCTGCGGTAGACTGCAGGCATGCTGTAGCAGCTGTTGTAGAGTGCAGGCATGCTGTAGGAGCTGTAGTAGACTGCAGACATGTTGTAGGAGTTGTAGTAGACTGCAGACATGTTAAAGCTCCTTTACAAATCAATATTTCCATAATTGTGCTCCCTATAGTCCCCCGACAATTTACTTGTGGTACATAAGCCATAAGATCAGAAAAAAACATGAAAAGAATGACAAGCACAGAAAAGGTAAAGCTGACTATACACTCAGTGTATGAAATAGAGATGTCAATACCCTATCCACGCTAGCATGGATGGAGGCATCTCCCATGCTGGCCATTGTATTCTGCTGCTGCTGCTATTATATATGAACAGCCATTGGAGCTGATTGGCTGCAGTCCCTGTTCCACCAACAATGCTTCACCCGGTTCTTTTGACAAACAATGAATGCAGGGCCCTGTGGCGATGCCCTGTACTCACAGTATGTCCTCAGTTTTCCAGGTTGAAGGATGTTGGGTTCTTTCAACGTAGAAGACTGAGGACCTGTTGTGTCAGTGGTGAGTTGCTGCAGCAAGCAGCCCCGGCGTTGTGCTTTAACACTTCCTTTTCTCTTTCTTCCTGGAGTAGGGCTTTAAATACTCCCCAGTAAAGTTTCTGATTATTGTTCATTGGATTACATCGTTTTCTGCAAAGGCTGCTCCGTTTTATTTTGGGCCCTGCGTGTGGAAATATTTAATCATCACAAATAGCCTTCTGCTCAGCAAAGAGGTTTAGGAACCACTGAAGCAATAGCGCCATTAATCTTCATAGAAGCTCTGGTGGCTGCCACTTTCTCAGGATCTGTGTTAGAGAAAGCACTTTTGTTTTTCCTTCAACTGTGTGCTGCCATCATGAATTTCCCCTCCGTCCTCCGAGAGAGGGCTGGTGTTTTCTTTTCTTTTTTTTTTTTTCTACCTTAACTTCATATGGCAGCTCCATTCCAGCTGACATGGGATCTCATCCATCCTGATAACAGCCTCCTAAATTATACATCTGCTATGGTAATGTGATGGCTTTTCTGGAGAAAACAACCTGCCATACAGGGGTATGGTAAGATGTCACTCAAGCCTACAATGGATTGTTGTCACGTCCATCAGTCGGCTTTACAGCCTAGTAATATTTAGCAGCCAGTACCTTCTGACCTATAGATCTTCCAACACGATAACATAACTAAGGGGCTGATTTATAACACATTCACACAGCGTGTAGCTGGCCAAATGACGTTCACAGCTCATTACTGCCACTAGATGGAGCCAAGGAGCATAGGTATTTCTTATCTGGCTCCATCTAGTGGCAGTAATGAGCTG